TGATGTCAACATTTAAATTTTTTATATTCTGTATCCATTAAAAGATTGTTGAAGCTATAGCTGTTTTTAATACTTTTGTCCTTTAACTTTTATACTAAAGTTACGTGTTAACACATCACCGGATTACAGTATTAGGGTATTCTGAATCTGACTATATGCTTACCTTTACCTGTGTGTTATATGTTTTCATTTTACAAATTAATGCCTTTTTATTTCAGCTTGATGAACTTCTTACACTATTTCTCTTCAGTTAGGTTTAGTGGTGATAAAGTTTTATCTCACCTTTATTTCTGAAGCACAACTTTTTTGGGTAAAATATTCTTGGTTGGCAGTTGCTCTCTTTCAGCACTTTGGATATATCATCTCATTCTCTCCTGGCCTGCAAGGATAGTGTGATAGGGTTATGGAGGTTCCCTTGTAGGAGAGATTTTTTTTCTTTTACTGTTTTTAAAAATTATCTCTTTGTCTTTTGATGTAGATAGTTTTATTGTCATGTATCTTGGAGAAGATTATTTTGGTTTGAAATTTTGGGGTGATGGATTAGCTTCATGAACTTGGATATCCCTCCCTCTCTTCAGGTTTGGGGAGTTCTCAGCCATTATTTCTTTAAATAAGCATTCTACCTCTTTCTCCTTATCTACTCCTTCTGGGACTCCCAAGATGCATACATTATTTCTCTTATTTTTTTTTTAAATATATTTTATTGATTTTTTTACAGAGAGGAAGGGAGAGAGATAGAGAGTTAGAAACATCGATGAGAGAGAAACATCGATCAGCTGCCTCCTGCACATCCCCCAATGGGGATGTGCCCGTAACCAAGGTACATGCCCTTGACTGGAATCGAACCTGGGACCCTTCAGTCCGCAGGCCGATGCTCTATCCATTGAGCCAAATCGGTTAGGGCCATTATTTTTCTTATTAATGTCCTGTAAGTTCCATAGGCTTCATTCATTGTCATTCTTTTTTTTATTTTTTTATTGCTCCACGGATTGGAAATTTCAATTGATTTGTCTTCTAACTCACAAATTCTTTCTTCTACTTGTTCAAGTCTTCTGTTAAAGCTACTTTTGCATTCTTCAGTTCAATCATTTTATTCTTCAGTTCCAAAATTTGTTTGGTTCTTTTTAATGTTTTCTATCTCTTTGTTGAATTTCTCATTTTGTTCTTGTATTATTTTCCTGATATTGTTAAGTCATTTATCTGTGTTCTCTTGTAGCTTTCTGAACATCTTTAAGATAAGTATAGTAAACCCTCAATTTAATGAACTACGGATTTAAGGGACAAAATTTCCAGTCCGTATGTCATATGTGAAAATTAGTATTAATTTAAAAAGGCTTTTAACCAAGATTTGCTTATAATTAAATTAACAGGTTATTTTTATGTAATTAATTCACTGTTATTTTTAACAAATTTTAGTGACTAGGCCATATGTTGGAAAAACACTAGTAATTTTGTCAACATAAATATTACATATCTACAACTATAGTCTACATATTTAAATCCAAGAGTCACTGCTTGGAAACAATGTTCAGGGAATGATTAGCACATGGTCACACCACATTGCACTGTGATTGGCTCTGTTGTTTCATGGCATGACTTTCTGTAGCAGTTTTAACTCATGCTGGCCTATGTTCCCAGGGCTCTAAGCCACACCCCCACCGTGTGCATTTGTTTACTCGCAGTGACTGGGTGAATGCACGTATTTACTAGACCTATCCTATCTAATAAAGAGGGAATATGCTAATTGGCCCTCACACTGTTGCAAAGATGGCAGTGCCCACAGCCAATAAGGAGGGAATATGCTAATTGATTTCCCCTCTCTCAAAGATGGTGGTGCCCACAGTCAATAAGGGGGGAATATGCTAATTTACTGTCACACCCTCAAAGATGGCAGCACCCACAGCCAATAAGGAGGGAATATGCTAATTGACTGCCCCGCCCTCAAAGATGGCGGTGTCCATAGCCAATAAGGAGGGAATATGCTAATTGCTGCCACGCCCTCAAAGAGGCAGTGCCCAGTCCCCTCAGCCCCACCAGCGCGCCTGCCTCCGGAGTCCCCCAGTCCCCTCAGCCCCCCAGCCGCCCAGGACCGCCCGAGGCTCAGGTAACCAGGGCTGGCCGAGGCTTGCGCTGCCGGCAGCGGCAGCAGCAGAGGTGTGGGTTCCCACCCCTGAGGGCTCCCGGACTGTGAGGGGGGGCAGGCTGGGCTGAGGGACCCCCCTCCAGTGCATGAATTTTCATGCACTGGGCCTCTAGTATAAATTTAAAATTACCGTTATACATATAGAAAGCTTTTCTGTGAAATTAAACTTTTCATACATAATTTTAATTACGTGTCTACAGATGTGTCTACATAAGTAAAAACGGTAAACTAATTTGTCAGTTTTTTAACATATGCATTTGGAAACCCTACTTTATTATATAGTGGACTTGTGGCTTTAACGGACACCTCCTTGTCCAAAATAGTTTGTTATGTCGAAGTTTTACTGTTTTGAGGTGTTTTTTTTTTTATCAGGTTATTTCTGCTTCTTCATTTTTAGGGGGGCAGTTATTATAGGTTTACTGTATTCCTTTGGTGGAGTCATTTTTCATGATCCCTGCCATCTTGCACAGGTGCCTTCACATTTGAAAAAGCAGTCACCTCTGCCAAACTTTATGGAGTGGCTTTGGGAAGGGAATAGTTTCACTGCTGGTGGAAGTGTGCTGCGATCCTGGGTCCAGTGCTGCAGGGCACCAAGTGTTCTGTGTAGCAGTACTAGGTCTGGCAGGGTTGTGGGTGGGCATGATGTCTCTTCAGCTCAGGCCACTGGTGTGTACCGCACTGACAACTGTGTGGTTCTTGGCAAGCACTGTAAGTGTTCTGCAGTGGCTGCAAAGGCTGTCGGGGTCTTCCATGGCACCTCCAGGTCCAGCTGCTCAGGACCAACGCAGGCAGCATTGGAGACCCAGAACCAGTGGTGTGCACATAGTCAGTTACAGGGGGCCAAATGCAGGTGGCAGTGTAGTGGCAGGGGCTGTTTGCAGACACATGATAGTGGAGGAGGCCAGAGCAGCAGCAGGTCTGGGGCCAACTGTGGCCTCACTGGCTGCTACAGAGGCCCTGGTTGCCGGCATGCTCTCTGTGGCTGCACACACTCTTCAGGTGCACACTCACCCCTGGGCGTGCACACGGCAGGGGAGGCCTGTGATGAGGTAAGGCCAGTTACATGGCAGGTGCACAGCTGAAGGGGCTAGCTCCAAGCTCATGCACAGCAGTGGGGGTCATCGGGGCAAGGGTGGGGGGTGTCTATGCTGGGATCTTATGCTTGAGCAGCTGCAGAGACCTGAGCTTGCTACCGCTGGTCGGGACATGGGAAAGAGAGGGAGAGTGGAGGGACTCGGGTGGCTGGTGTCAGCAGACATGAATACCTGTGGGGTGAAGTCTGCAGGAAGTACACAGTGGCTACAGCTGTACTTGCTATTGGCTTCAGGTAAGTGGCAAAATCGGCTGGGTTTTTCCACTGAGCAGTTCTCTGTGAAGCGCAGTCACTCCCACTCAGTGGCTGCTGCCAGCAGCCCCTGTTTTTCTTCCTTGTTCCTAGCCGGCTTTATACACTTCAGCTTAGCTGCTCTGGGTGAAACTGGTTGTCACCCTCTCTTTTTTTCCTGGAGAGGGGAAATCTTTCTAGATCGGTAGCTCCCTCTTGATGCTGGGGGATGGGATGATACTGGCAAAATGAAGTTATCTTCCTTCTCTTTTTGTGAGATTACTGTCAGATTTTTTTGTTCCACTGTGTTGTTTATAGATAGCTGACTAACCATTGATCTTTGTGAGGGCATGAGGACACTAGGGCCTCCTATGTCACCATTTTGGCCCCTCTATCTTCACATTTATTTCCTTTACACTTCTTTATTTTTTATTTAATATTTTTTTCCAAATCCCCAATAAAAATGAGTTCATTGGGGGGAAAAAAATTGACATCATTCAGAAATGTTTAATACAAACAGAGCATTCACCAAATCTAGTCTCTTTTCAGGTACGTGTTTGCATGCTTGTAATTGTAGTACATATACTTTCATAGGCTGCTTTTGGGGGCTTATTAAATCAAACATTTCTCCTGGATTGCTAGATAGTCTTTAAAACTAGTATTTTAATGACTGCATAATAGTAGTCCACTGAGTTTTCCGTCATTTACTCATATGTATGATTTTCGATTGTTTCCAGCATTTTTATTATTGTAATTAAAGTTATAATGGTCAACTTTAGGCATATTATTATTTCTGATAATTTTAGATTATATCCTTAAAATAAAGGATTGAGGTGGAATTATTGAGTTCAAGATTTTAAATATATAATATCTACTTTCTTTCCAAAGAGTTGTGTGAATGTATCAGTGTCATTGTAACAAGAAAGGTCTTTCTTTTCAGGTAAAAATTGATTTCGCAGAACCAGCTCTTTTACGTTCCATAGTCTGTGACCACTAGATAAGACAAAAAACATGGGAAGTCCAGTGAAAAAATAGTATTTTGAGAAACTGAAATTAATATTTTGGCTTCTCATGAGAAGTGAGCTGGTAATGAATTGGGTGTTCCGGAGCACGGCTTTATGTTTTAAACTCAGGATGCTGCTGCCCTCCTTGTTCCTGGCCAAAAATAATCAGAAACTTGTATAGGCATACTGTTTTTAAAAAAATAAAATATTTTTAATTGATTTCAGAGAAGGAGAGAGATAGAAACATCAGTGAGGAGAGAGAATCATTGATTGGCTGCCTTCTGCACGCCCCACCCTGGGGATCAAGCCAGCAACCTGGGCATGTGCCCTTGACCAGAATTGAACCTGGGACCCTTCAGTCCACAGGCTGATGTTCTATCCACTGAGCCAAACCAGCTAGGGCTATAGGTATACTTTTTGATAGAAGGTTTGTGTTGTTTATAAGCAAAAGTTTAAGTTATGATATGTTTGAAAGTAAGCCCTTTTACCTAACCAGTTTTATTAATGATGCACTTCTTTTCTTCTTCAGAAAACGGACTTCCATAGAAGCCAGACACTGAGCTACACGCATGGCTATGCAATGGCTCGTCGTCCAACGGTTGGAATAGGCGGGGACCGGCTCCAGGTCAACCAGCTGTCCCAGGCTGACCTGGATGAGTTGGCCAATAAGGCACCACTTCTAACTTATGGTGAACCTAAGCCGGCTGCACCTCCGGAATTTATTCCTGCGCATGTGGCTTTTGACAAAAAGGTACCATATGGGATTTTAGGGTACCCCTTGAATTCAAATTTCTGAGAGCCAACTCTTTGCAGAAAAGTCAACAGTAAACCACAGGTTTTTCAGAGTACTCTGAAGAGAAAATTATTCAAATGCCTCAACCCTTAGTCATAGACAGCTGAACTCAGGATTGAAAGGGCCTTTCTTTAGTCAGGAAGCTGATTACAGAAAATAATTCCTCATAGACTTTACTGAAATATTTTCCAAATACAGTTAAGGGAAAGTTGGGTGAATTCTGAATTCTGAGTTCATATTGCTCTATGTTTACGTGCTCTGTGTTTCCTACTTTTTAAAGTTTTATATCTTGTAATGATGACAAATCCTTAACCTCCATGAAATGCAAGATGTCATCATGAGTACAACTCCATCTGTTGTCAGTTTTCTCTGGGCTGTCTTCCTAAGTTTCTGTCTTTTAGGGAACACTTCTGGCTTGGCATGGCATAACTCAAGGGTGGTATAACATTGTGTTTGTGTCTCATTTACTCTTATGCTTTTGTACTGGGAGTTATCTTATTTCCATCTGTTGACATTTCCACATCATCTTTGGTTTTCCTTGTCAGTGAGTCTCCTCTTTTCACTAAGGCCAGGTGGTCCTAACTATGGCCATGCAGTGGAATGACTGATGGGACTTTTTTTTTTTTAATCTCAACCTGAGGATATGCTTTTTATTGTTTTTAGAAACAGGGTGAGGGGGAGTGGGGTGGAGAGAGAAACATCGATGTGAGAGAGAAACCGATTGGTTGCCTCCCATATGCACCCCAACTAGGGATCAGACCCACAACCTAGGTATGTGCCCTGACTGGGAATCAAACCCTCCCTTTTTGGTATGCAGGACGAAGTGCCAACCAATTAAGCCACAGCCAGGGCACTGATGGGACTTTTAAGAAACTTAGATGCTTCCCCAATCCTCAATGATTCAGATTTCCAGTGATTTTTATGTATAACTGGGACTGAGAATTACTGACCAGTTTTTATAAGTTACCTTTCCTAATTTACTCCTAACCTATTTTTTGATCCTTTAATGTTATTTTTGTTCAATGGCTATATTATTTTCATCCAGCTAGACATTTATTGAGTACCTATGGAAGATATAAATAGTCTGGTTGTTGTGGCTGATTGAGCATATCCCATACATCGAAGGGTCACCAGTTCGATTTCTGGTCAGGGTACATATCCAGGTTGGGGTGCATGCAGGAGCAACCGATTGAAGTTTTTCTCTCACATCAGTGTTTCTCTCTCCCTCTCCTTTCCTCTCTCTCTAAAGTAATCAACAAAAACATTTTTTAAAATATCAAAGGAATTCTGGGTAAAATTTAGTCTGGTGGTAGAACTGTGCTATTTACATTAATAATCAATGAATTTACACAATTTTTAATGTATCAGCCAGAATCAATATAACCCCCATTTCCCCATCTCAGTTATCACATTTGATAGGAAAAATTCACATATTCATTCATAATAAACCTAATATCCACTAACTGGTATCAGTTATACATATGGCTATTTCTTTACTTGTTTCTTGTTTCTCTTCTTGATTCACAGCTGTGACAGGCACTGCAAAATCAGTAGATAAGGGAGAGGGGCAAAAATACAAGAGAGGAATGAGATAGGTATTTAATAATTTATCAAGATATGAATCCTGGTAGGTTCAATTTTTATTGAAAAGAATAGCAAATAACTATGATAAACTAGAAAGTGATAAAGTTATATATGTCATGGAAAGTATTATTGAAATACAGAGAGGGGGAAATTGTGCCTTAATAGAAAATAGGCTTCTTTATATTTTTGTTCTTCTATGTTATTTTATGCTTATTGTCATTACTTAATTTATGCTTTTAAAATAGTATTAATAATTCATTTTTAAAAGATAGTAGGCATGAAGAAGTATACTTACATTTTAAATTTCCTATTCATTTTACTTGGATCATCAAAATTTCTAGATAAATAATCCTTACCATAGATAATAAGGTAGAGAGTAGTTAAACCCATGGTTTTGAAACTAAGATTTTTTTTTTAGAAGAGGAATTTATAGTTTTACTGAATTAAATATGTTTAATTTTGTTTTAGAAATACCCATAGTCAAATTAATAGCAAACATATTTGTCCGTATTTTGGACAGACTTTGTACTGTCCCTTATCTTTAGAGTATAACTTCATTCCTTACACAGGTGATAATGACCAGGACATGTGCTGTGAACACCCTCATCTTTTTTCTTTGTTCCCATAACAGTTCTCATTGTCACCCCCTATGTTCAACTTCCCACCCTCATATCCCACTCTGTGTTCCTGATGCTATTATTCTTTCATTTCTCTTATCTTTAACTTTCATACTACTTCCATTTCAAACAGCTAGTAAGTTTTTTTTTACCTAGGGTCAAAGTATGCTGCCTTAAAAAAATTTCTACCTTGTGACCCCTTTAAGAACTTCCTTTCTCACTTGACTGTTAGATCACTTACAATTTGACATCTCTCTGCCCTCAAGCCCAGAACTATTTTTTTTTTTTTGCCAGCATTCCCTTTGACCTGTTTGCAGTATTTGCCATTGTTGGTCCTCTCTTCCTTCTTGAAACTTTGCTTTTCTCTTGCTGCACTGAATCTTCACTCCTCTGGTTTTCCTCTCTCTCCATCTGGCTGCTCCTACTCTGGCCTCCCCTTCTCCTCTCATTTTTAACTGTAAGCATTGTAAAGGGTCTGTTCTCATTATTTTGTACTAGTGGCCCGGTGCACAAATTCATGCACATTGAAAGGAAATTAATTAGAAGAAATATTTTAATATCACTACTCGCCCTTTCTATATAATAGAAGTGTCAACCAATTTCACGACCGACAATGATAGATCAAAACACACACGTGCGATTGGCGCTAGCGAGAGCTTTATATGTATTGTGCATGTGTGAGACAGCTTAGCCTTTTATAGATACAGAATAAACTTGCTTAATTAGACCTGCTCTCTGATTTAGCTAAACTTTTTCCAGCCCAGTGAAGCACCCCAACTTCTCTTTCAGGTAATTGTCAGCAACACAGCAGTAAATATCAACACAAAGATTATTATTGTAGATAATGCAGGGAGAACAAAGGGTAAAATATTTAACTGCAGCAGTGTTTGACTATATTCTGCGCAGTGAGAAAACCTGAAGTCATTTCCAAGGTCCACAATTTCTTACTTCTTTTCAGTCGGGTCAAGTTTCTAAACTTTCTAAATCTCCATTTTCTGGCAAATGAAAAGAAAATAGAATTCCACTGAGTCTCCTATCTACCTACTCCAGGACTTCTGTGAGGATCAAATGAGATGAGGCACGGGAAAACGCTTCACAGACATTTGGTTAAAGTGTGAAATGTTTGCACCTGGCTATAAAGCAAGTCGTGTTCCTGGGCTGAAGAAACTGCAAGGAGGCTAGCCGTCGCTAGAGAGAGGAAGCCAGGCATTGCTACGTGATGTCATTACCCAGATGGACACTTAGCATATTAGCCTTTTATATATATAGATTCCTCAGAGAGATTTTGCCCACTTTTATGGTTTCAACTGTCATCTCAAAGTAGACAACTATTGATACTTCCAATTCTGACCTTTTTGAAAATGCTGTAAGATATCTCCACCTGGATGAGCTGTGGGCACCTCAGGTTCTGTATGTCTTTCACCCAGACCACTACCTTTTCTTATAGATGTGTTCTTTCTGTATGGCTCCATTAGGTAATCAAAGTGTGAAACCCAAGCCATTTCAGGTTTTCTTCCCCTTCAGTGAGTTGCTAATTCAAGTATATCTCACTTCCATTTCCTCTACACTGTCATAGTTCAAACAAGCAATATGTTAACTGTTAACATACTGTTAACCTTTGTAGTAGTCCCACACCTGTTTTTTTTATGCTTGTAGCATGTCCAGTGCTTGGTTTAGTACCCAAAGCACATTATGTCATTTTCTGTGAAAATGCCTTCAGACTCTCTTAACCAGTATAGTAAATATTACCGCTATCCACCTAGCTGCTTTCGTCCCCCAACCTGAAAGTCATCCTTGATTCTTTTCCTTCACAAGCTCTGTCATTTCCATCTCTCAAATGTATAACTACTTTGCTCATTTATTTTCATCTCTCTACTTACAATTTTCCAATTAGCAGGCAGGCTTATCTTTTAAAAGTAGGTATCAGTTTTGCGTTTTCTCTTTCCAGCTGGCGCCGCAAGATCAGGGGCAAGAGAAGGCCCTACCACAAGAACCAAAACAACACTAAGATTGGACCCCTCCGCATACACACAGTCCGAGTGCCCGGAGGCAACAAGAAGTACCTAGCCTTGAGGCTGGATGTGGGCAACTTCTTCTGGGGCTCAGAGTGTTGTATGCGCAAAACAAGGATTATTGATGTTGTCTACAATGCATCCAACAACAAGCTGGTCCCCACCAAGACCCTAGTAAAGAACTGCATTGTGCTCGTTGACAGCACAGCGTACCGGCAGTGGTACGAGTCCCACTACGCACTGCCCCTGGGCTGCAAGAAGGGGGCACGCTGACTCCTGAAGAGGAAGAGATTTTGAAGAAAAAACAATCAAAGAAAATTCAGAAGAAATATGATGAAAGGAAAAAGAATGCAAAAATCAGCCATCTTCTCGACGAGCAGTTCCAGCAGGGCAACCTTCTTTCATGCATTGCTTCAAGACCAGGCCAGTGTGGCTGAGCAGAGGGCTATGTGCTCGAGGGCAAGGAGCTGGAGTTCTATTTGAGGAAAATCAAAGGACTGGAAAAGCAAATAAATCCTCTTCCCTCCAATCTTAGCTCATGTAATAAAGGTGTTTATTCTTAAAAAAAAAACGTAGGTATCAGATTGTCTTGTACTGACCTAAAACATTCTCATGGCTTTCCCAGTGTGTAGGCTAAGATCCAACTCTACAGGTTCCTCACAGTCCTACTGGGTCTGGCCCTCCCTGCTGTTTCTCCACCCTCCTCTTGGGCCTATCTTTTCCTAACCCACTGTGTTTCATTCAC